AAAAAGCTAGCAGCCTAAATTCAAACATTAAAAAAAATAGAAAATACTGTAATTTAATATCAGGGGAGAGTAACGTAAAACTTGATTTATTGCATAGTCATTTAAAAATTAATAAGAGTTTTGCATATAAAAAAATGTTCTCGGCAGACCTGCTTAACTATATATTCACAGCATGCTGTCACAGCATAAAGTAAATAGCTTTGAAGGCAGACAAAATAAAATGTCCGGCAAGCTGTTTGCTATTGGACACTTCACTGTACAAAAATTATTTACAAGGAATTCGCTCCGAAATAAGAATAAAAATAAGAATATGGATAAAATTTAGACAGAAATGAACGGCAGACAGAATCAGAGAAATGTGCAGCAAGCTATTCGCTATTGGACGCCTTACTGTACATAAATAACTTACAAGGAATTTAGTCGCAAATACCAAGAATGTCCTTTGAGCTGCATAACAGAGCGGGATGCGAAACAGCTGTTTTGTTCCTTCTTTCAATTTTTCGTACGTTATTTATTTAAATGCGACAGCACACACACACACATGAACTCAGTTGGTCACACTGTTTGGCAGACACGTTTAAACGTGTTGCACAACTTTCACTACGTTTTGCATGCACTTTCGCTGCTTTGGCCTTTGCGGTAACGGCGACGACAATGGCGACGGCGGCGGCGACGGCGGCAATTGCGACGGCTACGATGACAGCGACACCGACTGCGACTGTGACACCGACTGCGACAGCGACTGCGACAGCGATAGTGACGGCGACGGCAAGAGAGAAGACAACGAAGACAACGTCGGCGACTTGTGTTGATCAGAAATGCATTCAAAGCGCTCGCCGCAAAAGGACGTGGCGCACGGCGTACCGATACGACACTGCGACAACCACAAGATGCCTTGCATCCGAAACACGTGCGACGCGAATTGACATTCGTTTCAGACTGCACGAAAGCGGAAAGCTTTTCAATCATTCCTGCCTGAATCGTCGTACACTTACATCTCAGCCGACCACCGAAGCCGAAGCGTGACCAACAGCCGAAACACGTGCAGCCGAACAGCGACTCCGAAAATCTTAGTTGCGGCGAATTGGCTGAAGGGGTCGAGCCGTTGCCATTTAAATTTGTAACTGCCACTGTTTGTTCACAATATTAAGCAGGCACGTTCTCTTTTGAGAAAGTCTACTTAATAAGAAAAGCAGCCCATTTTTTGTAAAGGAACTTTAATTAATTAAATACGAGTTAATAAAGTCAAAGCTTTATATGAGAATCGCTTTTATAACATTTTGTCAAAATTAAACTTTAATTTATTTATATTTTTTTATTTTTTCTCATATTTTTGATAAGACTTTTACCTAGGTCTTTGAAAGGTTTCAAAGTTTCTTAATGAAACCTAAATTAGATATATTTAATAATATTTAATTTTGAATTTGTATGTATAATCACATAAAATAACTTACCTATGTCAACATTTTAATCATAGTAGAATAACAGCCTTGGCAGTTGGACTGAAGTTACTGTCCTTAAGTAAGTATTAGTATTAGTATTAAGGATACCCCTCGTTGTAGACATAACATGGGACTGTACAGAACACTGTAAAGCTTACCCCTTCGTGTACCAAAAATATGCCACCGTTGCTTCAAAGTGGATGTTGTAAGCCTAAGCAGCAAAAGTTAACGCGTCTCTGTAAGAAACATACTTATGTAGATGTTATCAGTTTTGTACCAAAATATTTCAATAACAGTGGTTGTAGTATGCGCTAGTATAATAAACAATTACAGCACTTTCTACAGTGTACTAAAAACCATTGGTTGCTGTACTGACTAGTTAGCAGTGCAACATCTAACAGCTCACTGTAAGCATTTAACCTTGAATAAGATGTACCAAAATAACGTTGTGAGTTTGCAGTGGCTCTTTTATGTACTAAGAGTTAAGCCCCAATACTAAATGTGCTAAAATATCCTGCTGTTAGTTTGTAGTGGTGGTCTTACCTGATACCTTAAGTCGTAAAAGTATTCTAAAATGTACCATTTGTTGCTACAGTGTTGTTGTTAACAGTTAACAGTCCCCATCAAAACTTTGCTGCAACATATCTTTATGTTAACATTTATCATTTAATGCAATTGAAAACAAGTTTTATATTTTTACTTTATCCACTTCAACTTTTATTTATGCAAAAATCCTTCAATACGTTTAATTTACAAATTGAATTAAAAATTGAAAAAATGTTTTCAAGGAGAAATGACTAAAACACATTTGAAAGTCTCTAAAAAATTCCCATGTACAGACAAAAAACTACATTAGGATAAATATTTAAAAAAGAAACCTTTAAATATCTAAGTAGCTAAATTCTTTTAAATTAATTTATATATTTATTTAATTATTCACTTCGTTTTTTTGTTGCTCTGAAATGCAATTGGAAATGTTAGTTGAGTTGTTTGTTAATTTATTATTATAATTTTTTTTTTTTTTTTTTTATTTTCTTAATTTTATTTCGTTGCGCGCCACAAAACAATTTACAATTTACATGGAAATTCGTTAAAAATGCAAAATTTTTGGGAAATTTGTAACGAAAACAATTTTGAAAATATTGCTTAACCAAAAAAAAATACGTGAAACAAAACTCGCGTCACGTTTTTCTCCCCATGTTTAAACAAAATGCGATTTCGATTTTGTTAGTGATTTGCTCGATTTTAGAAAAAGTTCATAAAACGTTTCGCGAGCTCACAAGATATACAATCCGCTTTTTTTTGGTTCTCTTTTTGTTTGTTTTTCATTACAACTAAATGCTGATTATGTTTAATTTACTAATTGTTACTGTTTGTATAATTAGAATTTGTAGGTAAGCAACAGCAAATGTTGGCCAAATGCCATAAGAAAAACGAAACCCCGAAAAGGGGGCACGTGGCTGTTACAGATCTTTAACATTTGCTGTTACTTCAATATGTTGTGGTTGCTTTTAAACTATATACCGAAAGGTGTTTGCATTAAAGTGGCTTTTACTATAAATTGTTTTTGTTTTTTGTTTTTTCTTTTGCTTGTTTTCTTGACTATGATGTGTTGTTGTGCATGCTGCTGCTGTTGTTGTTGTTGTTGTTGTTGTTGTTTTTGCTGTTGCTGTTGTTGTTGCAGTGTATTGCTAAGCGTTCCAGACGCTTAGAATCATTTGAGCTTGGCATATGCATCGACCTTTTTGTGGAACTGATTGTAATACTCGAGCGCCGCATTTCGAGTCTGGTTCAACGCCTGATTAATGTTCTCCGGTGAGAAGCGACCACTACAAAAAAAAAAAAACAAAAGAGAGCATTATAAATTTGAATTGGGATTAAAGATTGCGAGAATGTCACAAAATATTAAGATGAAAACACTCTTAGAACAATTTGAAGTCAATTAAGATTAAAATGTCTAGATGAAATTTCTATACAATTTACATATTTAAAACATAATAAATATGTAAATGGTACGAAAATTTAAAGAGATTTAACTTTAAAAGTTCTTCCTCATTAATTCTTATATATACAAAATAAACGATTATTGTAGGAATATTATTATCTAAATACTCTCTAATTGTCCAGGCGTTTAATATGTATAAAAATATATCATCTTTCTATCTAATATGTATTCTGACTTCAAACATTTATATACATTTATAATATATAATTACAATCTCATATATATTCAACGAATATTTAATCTCACTACAAACTTATATTTAACTAATCTAAATTCCTAACACAGTCACATATTTATCTAATACCTGCATCCCCACTATGATCTAGATTATATATACCAAAAATACACTTACACCAGCACCTTCTCCTTGATTAGGGTGGCAGATTTGTCGTAGCTGTTGACGGCCAGATCCTTGGCGCCCGCGGCGAAGGCCTCCAATTTATGCGAGAAATTGGGCAGATATTGATCAATCTGGGAGAAGGCAAGAGCAGAGAATAATAACGATAAGATAAGTGGCGAGTGTGTGGCAAAACCGGTGGGGCGAGGAGTGAACAGGGCCGCAAACCAGTTTCCCATCAAACAGTCAACAACAAAAGCAAAACAAAGAAGATGATGCTTGACCGTGTTCAGCTTTCAAAACAAAAATAGTTAAGGAAATATGATGTCAGCTACTCACAAACTTGGCCACCGCCGGCCACTGGGAGCGCCAGTAGTTGAGGCCATTCGTATAGGCACTGCAGCAGGCATTCCGTGCGATCTTCCACACATCAATGCCCGTCTTGATCGCCGGCTGGGCATACGGCGGAATATGCTGTTCGGCCCATTTGTAGCCGCGTGCGCCGGCTCCCATTGTCACATACCAGCCGCGCTGCACTTGTGGCAGAACGCCGGCATTCTTCAGCACCTTGCCGGTGGCAGAGTTCTCAAAGACACCTTTGCCATTCACCTCCGTATCGTAGCAGAGGGCACCCGCTATTAGGGCAATGATAAAGATGCTGCCCAGCGTCCATTTACAGCAGCCGCATTTCTTTTTCTGCGACGCAGCGTTCTGTTTGTTCTTTTTCTGTTGTGCACTGGTCTTCTCCTGAACGGTCTGTGAATAGATAGAGCGAGCGAGTTGGAAAGAAAGCCATTAAAGATGATAGTTCAAAGTTGACTGAGCGAGCGAGATAGCAAGAGTATTAAGTCATAGTTAAAAAGCTGTTTCAGCTCAAAAAAATAAAGGCGAGAGGAGTCTATATGTATTATTACCTTCTTAGCGGCAGGCGCTTGTTTGCCCTGTTTGCTTTGTTTCGGTTTTACCTGAGCCATAACTTTATATATTTATTTCTTGAATTTTTTTGTTTTTTTTTTTTTTTTCGTTTTTAATTTCAACTAAATTTCTGCAGCTGCGAGTATTTTAGTAACTACTGTCGTAAAAAAAAATTCCCAAATAATATTTATGAGTTGAGTTTTTGTTTCTTATTACTTTTCACGTTTTCCAATTTATAATGCAATAATTCAAAGTAATTCGCGATACATATATATAAGATTAAATTAAATTTTATTATTTTTATTTTTATTTTATTTTTTTTTTTTGCTATTGAGCTTGCGAAAGCTTTAAGTCTGTCATCGAGTCGCAATTAAAGAAGAAGAGAGGGAATTAAGCAGTAGACAAGTTCAGCGGTCAGTGAGAGTCGCAATTAAAAAAATAAAAACAACAAAAAGTGCACAAACAATTTGCACGTAGCAAACAGCGCGCAGCTTGACACAAACGCGAATGCGGGCTAGGCAAAAGGCGCGCAAGATAAAGCGTCAAACGAAAAGAATAACAGAATCGCAGTAGCAGAGGCGCTCGCCCGGCCAGCAACGCCGGCTGCGACAGCGACAGCAGCAGCTGCATACGTCACAAGGGCACACCACAGAAATCTGATGACGCGTCATCAGCTGAGCAGCAAGGAGAGCATAAGAACAGAGAGAAGAATTCTGAGAGCATCAACAATTGAGAGAGCGCACGAGCACTTGCGGGATTGAAGGAGAGAGAGAGAGCTAACAGCTTTGATATTGTTTTAAAATACAATCAAAAAGCAATAGCGGTAATCACATACATATGCATGTATTTACACACACAGAGCATGTAAAGCAACAACAACTGTTGATAATCAAACAAGTTGAATGAACTGTACAATCCGCAAGTTTCTGTAGCGATGAAAAGGTGTCAAGAAAAAGAATTTGTAATATGTATGTATATTAATTTAGGCAAATTCGCACATGAAAAATTGACAACGTAGCAGGTTGGAAAGCAAAAGAGAAAATCAGCCGCAGCCACGTGCAAGAAAATGGCCAGACAATCAGAAAAAAACTTGTTAGTGGTTGGCCTGCGTCTGCCTCTGTTTCTTCTTCTTCGTCTCCTTTGCCCACTGCGTTGGCATTAGTGACGTGGTCAGTGGACAGCGGTCAGAGCATCGCCTGAGCATTTCTTATCTCAAGCCGAAAATAAAATTCAGCGCCGCCGCCGCTGCTGCTGCTGCGCAAGCAAGCAACAAGGGTGTGCTGCAACGGTGGAGGGGAGGTTGTGGTGAGGGTAACAGCCAATCGCAGCTATAACACATCATCCATATAGGAAAAGTGACGCTAGATCATCATAAAAAGCGGCTGCGTGCGATAAGCGTTGTGAGCACACATACAAATAAACAGCGGTAAGAAAAGTAGTTGGGCCGCATGGCAACGCCATGACTGAAAAAATGAAAAAATGCACACACGCATTCAAACGCGCACGCACACATACACACACGCGCACACGTAATTAAACGCACTTTAAAAAAGAGAAATTAAGTGTGCGCCCGGCAAATACGACGTAGAGTAGCAGCAGCCGCGACGTCGATATCAGCGTTATCTTTTCGCCTTTTGTTTTTCGTCCGATTTTGAACAATCGTATTGGCGCAAATTACTTTGAATACTAATTGCAATATTCCAATTGGAAAAGTTTGTTTTTCCGTTCTTTTTCAATTTCTATGGCAGAACTAGACTGAGACGAAAAATACTTTTCTTTTTTGTTGTGCAGCCACTTGCAATAAACTGACAATCAGCGCGCAACGTGTACACAATGGCGTCTGACCATTCACAGCCCGAGCGAGCACACAACTCAAACAGCTGGGCCAGCAGAATAGTGTGACCAGCTAATGCTTAAGACGTTACAAGGTGGACCACAAGTTGATAGCTTCAAATTAACAATAAAAATAACTTAACTTACCTTTAAAATTGCTTCTAAATCATCAACGCATATATCTTTGCGTTTGTTTGATTGCAACTCAATATTTAAATGTTTGACACTCTGCAGAAAAGAAAGGAACGCGGGCGACTGTGCCAGAGCCTTGGCGGGGCCTTCCCAATCGTTAACTGTCAAATTGAATATATAAATAATTAAGACCAATTTATTTGTGCAAATTATTGTAATATTACCTATAGCCATCAATAGTATACAACTGGGAATTTGTTGTTTTTTGTAGTTCATGCGCCACACTTTGAAACAATCATCCGCTCCACTGCTCAGCAGACAGCTAATGCAGCCCTCGATCTCTATGCGTTGATTACTTGAATTAATCAGGCGTAAGAGTGTGAGGAAAATATTTGCCTGCTTCACAGGGCTGGCAATGTACAGTTGCTGCGAATCGAAAAATAATAAATTAATAATTTAATAAAAGGAATCATTAGTTAATTTTAAATTTAAGCTTCAATTGAAAAGGCGCAAGTTGAATTGCAGCCCTGGCCAGGGCCGTGCAAAATAAACATCGTTACTCTTAGAAAGGCAGATATGCTGAAAACAATTATTTTAACTTATATGTTTACAACTTTGTGAACTCCACTCGTTATTTCCATTATAATAGCTATCAAAATATTTCAGATACTCATATGCATATATAGATATTTCAAAGGCCACACTTTTCGCTTTGCCTATCGTTATCGTTACTTACCAACAGTTGTTTGGCGGTTCGTTTGAGACTCGCCTGTTGCTCCTTGCTAAAGTTGTTGTAATTCCCATTCAGTGCATTGTAGCAGTCGAAAAACTCCTGTTGATTAATAAGCAACGTTTCACCTTTGCGAGCTGCAGCTGCATTGAGAACACGCTCAATATGCTCCACGACAAATTTAGACAAGCTCTTCAGCTCCAGATTGGGCAGCATCAGATTCTGCCACACCTTAACGCCCTCTGTCAGATTCTGATGACCCCCTTGGCCGATAGCCCAGAGGATGCTCAAACAGATATTGCTTCGATTCTGGTAAGAGTTACGCAGTAGCGCCGTCTTGGCCATATTATGCGAGCAAATGGCTGGCCAATTCTGTCCGATTAATTGCAACACGAACTTATAGCCAGCGACATTCTGCCCACTGTTCAGTTCTGTGGCCATGCTATCCAGCAGCGAGTAGAAGAAATACTCCAGATTCGTTTCGCCCACACTGCGTAGAAAATCCAGAATGGATTGCTTTAAGGCAGCGCTGGCTAAGTTGCTAGGATATTGGGCACTGCGGCCGGAAAACGTGGGATCACAATCAAATGCGAGACGGCTATTCAAATAGCTGGAAATCTGAGAAGACAGTGAGAAATCTTAGAAGTGCGAAAATAATATATGTCATAATTGGCTGTGCAATAATAAATAAAAATCGTCGCTGTGCAAAGCCGGCTAACAGCTTCTACAACACAATATAAAAGGAAAAAAAAAAATTTTAAATGATTAACACATATAGCCGCAATGCCGGTCAACATGTATTCCGCTCTTATCAACTATTCGCTTACATTGCTCAGCCAACGCAGCTGCGAGCCCGGACAGCTGATTTTCACCTGTTCCAACTGTGCGGCGAAATCGTCAGGCGTTATTTGCTTCATTGCCTGCTCTAAGGTTCTCGCCTTTGCCGCCTGTTTCGGCGGCTTTTTTGCCACATCGGTTGCACTTGATTTCGCCGCAGTTGCATTTGTTTTGCGTGGCGATTTGCTTTTGGAGGAAGCCGATGCAGCGCTCGACGTGGATTTAGCTGGTGAATCAGATTTGTTATTTGTGTTGCTGTTGTTTATATTGTTATTGGCAAATAAATTGCGATACTGCTGCGTTGGCACTGTAGATAAGCAATACGAATTGATATATGTATTTGTTGTTGGACTAAAGTTAATTAAAGCGGCTTACAAAGTTCTTCCAGCTTCGGAAGCTGGGCGGCAATTCGTTTTTGCTCAGTGTGAGCGGTAACTTTCTTCTCTAAATTCTTTTGTTTGCGCGATTTAGACACGACTTCCCATTGATTGGACGTTCCAGACATTTTCGTAAGATTTTTAATTCAATTAAAGCGTTTTTCAAGGAGTGCAGCGATATACTGCCCCACCGGCTGGCTGTGTGAAAACTAAATAAATATCAAAAATAGCCAACTGCATACTAATTGTATCAGAACATTTTACAGCACTGACAGAGCGCTCTCGCGAGAGCAAATTAGCTTTGACAGCAAATGACTCTCTCTTTATGTTAACCAATTGTCGAAGAGCGCCAAAAATGTTAACAGATACTAAATACATATTAATTATTTCTTGGGTAAATCAGTTTGGTCACACTTGATCTTTAATTTAAATTTTTACTAACGAACTGTTGAAATATTGATTCAATTGCATTAAAACTGTTTAGAACTAAACAGAGATTGAGCTTTCACTTTCAAATTGCATACAAACTGTACATTAGCAAACAAACAGTCAAACAGTTATTTAAATCCCAAACAATATACTCCGTCTCTTTTCTGTTAACTGAACAGCTTAAGAGAAATGTTAGTTTACAGCAAGATTTTCGCCGCGTGACAGTATTTAAGCGTTACGATTTTAAACAAACTGGTCCCACGGCTAACTGTTCAATTTCAAATTTAAGACCAATTAATAGATGCATTGTTAGATCTGTTAAGTTAAATTAATAGTATTTATCACAACTAATTTATTTTAAAGCATAAATGATGTGTTAATTTTTCAATAAAACATTCCTCAAATTTCATCCCTTAGGCTTGCAGTATTGCGTGTTAGAATAATTGGTATATTTTAGCACGTAACATTCGGGCACATTGCCACATGTTAACAGCTGTTATTTAGCGTTGAATATTTGAACCGAGCGGACGTGCGTCGCGGACGTTTTTATCGAAAAACGCGGTCTACGTACAGTGCAACCATTTTGCCTCTATATATATATGTATATATATATCAATCTATCGGTGTATATGAGTGTGTATGTGTATATGCCAAATGGTGTTGCAAAATAAAAATTGCAAAAACAGCAACAAAATATTTTTGTGAAAACTTCTAGTGTTCTAGTGCATCGACAACAACAACGCCGACAACGTCGCGCAAAATTTTTTACGGCGCGCCGCCTGCTGTTTTGAATTGTGTACGAGTGTGAGTGAGTTTGAGTGAGAGAGTACGACTTACATGTGCTTACGAGTGTGAGTGTGCGCTGTCTCTGTTTATTAGTGTGCGTGTGTGTGGCTGTGTCTGGCTGCCTAACAATTTGCCGCTAAATACAAAAAGCAGCTGAACGCAGCAGAGAAGCAGATAGAAGACCAGCTGACGACGACGACGTCGAAGTCGACGACACACACATATAAAGAAGAAAAAAGTCAACGATCGATTGCGCATATATATGTGCATGTGCATGTGTGCGAGCAGGCCAGGTGAAAAACAAAAGGCGAAGAGGCAGAACAGCAACAAACAAAATCAAAACGAATACAAGTAAAAGAAAAATAAATAATAGGAAAAAAGAAGCAACGTGAAGCACGTGTGTGTCCTGCTCTAGCAACAACAGTTACACAAAAAACATATATCCATATATATACACACAGAATATAAAAGATGTCTTCGGTACCGCTGGCCATCAAAACGGAGGAAGTCATTTTGGAAAACGCCGAATACAACAGCGCCGAGGAATTGGATGAAGAATTACAGTAAGTGAAGACAAGAAACATACAGGGGAAAGAAGAGAGAACAATGAGAAGAAAAGAAAATCTGATCTATACGCATATCACATTACAGTATGAATTGTTTACTTTGGCATCGTCATGAAATAAACAAACTGCTCTTGCACTTTTGATTCTCCTCGTTTTTTATCACGCAAATTATTGATTATTTCGCTCGTGCTCTCTCGCTCCCGCTTGCACACGGCAGACGTCGTCATTTTGCCGCCTGTTTTGCCGCACAAAACAAACGCGGCATAAAAACACCACCACCAATGCACTGTCACACACACACATATGTATACATTCACTCACACACATGGAAAACGTATGGCGTTCGTTTTGAACGAGCATTCCATTCCAGTTCCATTTATTCCTGGCTATTCTGGTCGTTTCATATTGCCAGCGTCTCGCTGGAAAAAGGTGACGCTACTTTTTTTTTCGCCCTGCTGTTGTTCGTGTGTTGTGTTTTTACGCTTAACACTCGCCATATTTGAAAAACGGCTGTTTTCTCGCATCTATTCCAGCACACTACACTGAGCGTCAAAATATTGAGCGCAACTTCAGTGTAAAGGAAAATATGGGCTTTTTTAATTTTGTGATCTGCTATTGCTCTCTCTCTCTCCCTCTCCCAGCTGCTGTTGCTAAACAGCTGCCGTTGCTTATCGTGACTCGCTGTCTAATCAACAGCTATGTTAGTTGCGGCCAAATCAGCTGTACCGGTATATTTCTATAATCATCATATGGGCAGCGCCGACTGCGACTGCGACAGCGGCTACCTGAACAACCAGACACACACACAATTGCAATAAATAAATGAGCAGCGAATGATGAGAGAAAGAGAATGTTAAAACAAATGATTGTGTGTGAGTGTGAACTGTAGAGCGTTAAAATGTACAGTTTTTTCTATTTTGTTGATATTTTGGTTCTTTTTATTTTGAATGCGACGAAAGTTGCGCCGGTTCATTTCAGATTTATTTTTTATCAAAATCATATGGTTTTTGTCGTCTTATCAGCGGCTGCTTTATGCCTTCAGCAGCAGCCTAGCATATGCTCACACACACATGTAGAGTGAGAGAGAGAGTTTGACAAAAGAAACCAATCGGCTAATCTTTCGCTCTCGCCTACTGCCTCCCTTTCTCTCTCTACCTCCTTTACACCCACTGGCAGCTGTGAGTACTTCAAGGTTTTCCCTTGGTGTGCGTGTTCGTTGAGCTTATCAATAAGGCGCAGACTGGCATTTACCCATATGTTTGGATTGTATAACTGCATGTGGCTAAATGAGTATCAGCACTGTGTAAGCCGACCGAATTTCTGACTAAACAGCTGACAGGTTTATTTTGATTTCTCTATTTATAATAATTGCAATATCATATTGGATAACAGCAAATACTAAGAATTTTATACCTAAAGCAAATACAGTTCGAAATCGAGTCTCTGCAACAACATCTGCCGGGCGAGTGAATTCGCTAAAAGTCTCCAATCGCGCGTTGCATGTGCTCTCACATTGCAAATGTATATGTGTGAGTGTGGCGTCATTTCCGTTTTTCCCCACACGCTGGAAGTCGCCGCGACTGTGGCGGCGCTTGTAAATTCGCTCAAATCTTTGTATGTGTTTGTGCTTCTGCATGCAGTCTTTTTGCTAGTGGCTGAAGTACATAAGCCCCTGCTTGGGAGTGAGCGAGTGAGTGAGGTTTGGCTTGCACTCAAAAGCTTGTTGCTCCTTTACGATAAGTCGCTGCCCGTAAAAGAGCGAGACAGTGAGAGTGGGCGTGTACACACACTCATGTGTGTGTGTGCGACTGTGAGTGTGCATTTAATAAAGGGGAATTTTAGCAAAAGTACAGATGCCGCCACACAGCGCTGCGCATTTTACTACTACTACAAGCATTTCATTGAAAAAACGTATACACAAAATGCCGCTGTCGCTGTTGCTGTCGACGCCGACACAACTGACACGACTGCAAAGTATTGCGAATTTGCAAAAAAAAAATGCCAATAAGAAAACAATATTCATACATACGAACACATACATACACACATATACGAGCGCAAAGATAAAAGCTGCTGCGCAAATTTTGGGCGATGGCTGTTTCATATGTCAAGCGTTTCGCCCTGCTGCTGTTTCATTTGCCATTGCGTTTTTGCAAGCGGCATTTTTTTTATGGGCAACCTGCGCCTAGTCGACGTCGTCATCGTCTGCCTGAGAGTGAGAGTGGGTGCATGTGAGCGAGCCAGAGCGAAATGGAGAGGGTGAGAGCGAGCGCTGAACGGATTGAAAGAAGAAGCGACAGTAATTCGTTTGCTCGAATTGTTGATGAAAAACACATGATTGTTTTTTTTTTCTGCTCTTTTCGCGCTACGCATGTGTGTTTGTGTGCGAATAGTTTGACTTGTAAATTTTATTAAAGATTAACGCAACCGTCAGCTGTGGCTGTACGTAAATACGTTTGTATGGGTGAGTGTGTGTATGCTACTGTTAATTCGCTTAACAGCTGTTGTTTTTGTCAACATGCAAACACATCATTTGGCCTCTACCTCTCCTTCTCGCACCTTGCACCTGGCACATATTCATCTCGAATTACCTCATGCGAGTACTTATGTGTCTGTGTGAGTGTGCGTATGTGTGTGTGGGCTTATGTAACCGTTATGTGTCACCCTCTTGCGCCTCTTGCCAAATTGCAACGGAGCTTTTGCCTATGTTCTCTGTTTATATTTTTTATTGCAATTGTGGCGCCGAAAGGCCGACGAAAAGAGACAGATACAGAGAGAGAGAGAGAAGAAAAAGATGAGGGGAATGTGGGGTGTGTGGCGACTCCATTCAAAATTTTTTCATTTGTTTATGCTACTTTGTTGCTTGCTGCACATTACGCTAGTGGCAAAGTTTATTGCGTTTTGCTGCGCATTTTGCCAATTGCTGCTACTGCTTCAGCCTCATCCACTAACTTTTTAGAATATAGTAGCTTTATGGGCTTCTGTGTGTTCCTGTGCGTAAGTATTGGTACGTGACTGGGCATAAAATAATGTTTGGTTTTTAGTGCAACAGATGCTTGGCATGCCCTTTTTACTGCGCTTCAAGTCGGTCATAAAAGTGTTACCATATAAAAGGGGAATAAACGTTAAGCGAACTGTTAATTTAGGTCATAAACGATTGGATTGAATGAACTGATAGGGAGAAAATCAATGCGAACTCCATAGGGATTTAGAAGGAACCAAAAACATAAAGGACTGATTATAGTTATAGAAAGAGAATATATAGAAGATGAATTATGCAATTTATTTGGTTAACATTAGGTTAATATGCACAAATTTCTTATTTAATATGTAGATTATAACATTATATTTAGTCATACAGCGTTTACAAATCGTGTAATTTTTTTAAATCGTTTAAAAATTAATTTAAATCAGCCAATTATATAATACGAAGTTAATGTTTATGAATTAAAAGTTGTGTTTCACCTGCAATCGGCAAAACATTTTGCAGCCGACAAATTCCAGGCAAAAACGATGACGTAAGCGTTGACCCAATAAGCGTACAGAAACGTACATAAATACATACATACATATATATGTATGCGATTTATGTGCAGTGCACCAGCAACAACAACAACAATTCGGCGGCACTCGTGACTTCGGCTTTGTCTGTTCTGTTTAGCTGCATATGTATATGTATGTATGAATATAGATACATATAAATGCATGCATGCATGTATATGTGTATGTGTGTACGGTTGGCGAAAAGTGGCCAATGAACTACATTGAACTTTGGGGCAGCAGCAGAGAGTCGGCCCCCGGGCAGTAGCAGCAACAGCAGCAGCAGCTGTTGTATATCATGTGCTCTTCTTCATATTGTTGTTATTGGTAATGCGGCTTTTGGTGCTGCTGCTGCGACTGAAATACAAAATATGCGTAAATTGCAATTTATAATTCAAATGCCAAAAAAAGGAAAGAAACTACAAATAACTGCACACAGCTTTCTAAAATATTGCTTAAACATGTGTTTTTGTATGATCGAACAGTGCTGGCACGAGCTGGCAGCAAAGGAGCTCGTTGAAGTTAAAAAGAAAGCTAGATTGCACCATATAGAAGCCTAAACATAGCTAAAATCTTACTTTATAATAACTTCAAAACATAATATTTACTCGCGTATTCGCTATGTTTATAAACAAAGAATCGTTTTTGGTTGGTTTTGTTGTTTTCTTTTTATAAACAAAGAACTTTTATTTCAAAATATTTCTCACTAAAAAACGGCTAATTTTTGCTGCTATCAGCACTGGCCAACGGCCATGCCGGCAGCTGCAGTTGCAGCTGTTAAATGCGCACGATGTACACTTTTCACACCCAGCGAATTCACACTTATTTCTGCCGCTGTTAAATTAACATGATCGCTATTTTTAGCTACCGCTGCTGCTGCGGCGTATGTAAATGAGGCGCAACAGCTGTTGTTTGCGTGTCTGCACGACACAAACTCTAATGGCATTATGCACCTATATTAGTGCGCATACATATATATATGTATATGAGTATAAGTTATGTATGTATGCGAATGAGCTTGTCAACGCATGCCTCAAATAGTTTGCACTTGACGCAGCTTCATTCAGCATTTGATGTATGCAGCAGCCACCGCCGCTGCTGCTTTTGTGGCTTTTTACTGTTTGCAAATAGAAATTCCACGACAGCAACAACAATAACAATAGTAGCAGCAACAGCAGCAAGTGCAGCAACATCCGCTTAACCAAGTTTGGCAACTGCTGACGAAAGAATGCATGGAAAGTATAGCATGCTGGACTATGAGATGCTCTGTGTATAATAAATAATAAAACTAATTCAAATTAATTTTATTTATTTCATAGAATATCTTTAAATTGTTTCTTTCTGTTCAAAATTTATTTTATTTTATAAACTTAATGTACCTTACATTTTAATTTTTATTAAAATAACAATTTATATATTATTATGTTTACCATTTAAATATCCTATTAATTTCAAAAATTAAACATATTGATATTTGATATTTATTTCATCAACATAGCATATTCGCTCATCATACCCAATTAGCTAGCCGCTATCTCTAACAGGGTATTCAGTCCGCAGCAAATATGCTGCAGCGAACGACCTTTGTTATGGATGGTAATGGCATGTTGCTAAAAATAAACCAATGTAACCAGACGACGATGTCTAAGATTTTCTATCGCTGTTGTCTTCGACGTTCTGCTGCTCGTTCGACTGCTGCTGCTGCTGCTGTCGTTTGTTGTCTTGCTGCTGGAATGCAGTGCTGCAACTTTACAAATACACAAACAATGCGCTCTCGCTCGCTCGTTTCTCTCTTTCTCCCTGTTCATTTCAATCGAGCTCTCGCTCAAGCACGCTCATATGTTTTTGTGGCCTGCTGATGCCTTTGTATAAATATTTTTTATTAGACACACACACAACTAAAGATATGTGTGTGTGACAAACCGGTCTTGAAATTCTTATGCTATTATGTGCAGCAGCGGCTGCAACAACCACAGCGACAGCGGCTTTAATCCAAGAGCCGCAATAACAACAACAGTCAAAAAGTCATATTTGACAGCTGTTAACTCTCTCTCCCTCTCTGTTTGTCTCTCTCCCACGCTCATCAACGGCCGCTCTCGGCTGACATGTTGCTTTTTATGCTTCTGCTTGATTGTTTTTGTATTTGTACATTTTTTTCTCGCTGCGCATTCTCTATGCATGTGTGTGTGTGTGTGTGTGTACGGCTAAACTAAAACTGAATTGAATGGAACTGTAAATTTATGAATGAATGAATGAATTTTTGTTAGTGTGTGGGTGAAAATGTGTGTGCGCAAGTTAATTGGTTTTGTATTATGAATATTCATTGCGTCTCTATATTTGTATTATTTTTCTTTACCACATGTATTAAATGCATACCAAATGTATATTTGTATGTATGTATATATATTAAAATACTAAATACTATTTATCCAATTTCGATCATTTTAATGAAAGAACGTATCATATTTGATCTATTTTACTATTTATTAAATTTAAAATAATTTATGCAATTTTGTTGATTCCATATTTCTCTCGTTTATCCTTCTCTGTAGATTACAACTGGAAGATTCAGGCGGGGAGAATACCTATCACATTGAATACACCACCGAGCCGGCGCATCAGGTTACGACCAGCTCGCAGCGACGCCAATCGAATATGAGCGCATCGAATACCACAAAAGATGGCGGAGGTGGCGATGGGGGCAGTTCGCCCAGCGGTAAACCTATATTGGATACCGAGAAACGAATACGGCGGGAAATAGCCAACAGCAACGAGCGAAGACGCATGCAGAGCATCAATGCCGGTTTTCAGAGTTTACGTTCGCTGCTGCCGCGACACGAGGGCGAAAAGTTGAGCAAGGTAAGTTAGCTAAACCGAAACCAAAAACAAAACCAAAACAAAATATAAGAGGAGCTACCTACAACAACAAGCATGAGCTGCACTAATTGGATTACATTTGAGTCTATGTGTGTGCACTTGTATTGGTTTATTGTTCTGTTATCCATTTACGCTTCAACACTTCGCTCAAGTTTCGTTTCGTTTACATTACCACAGGAGTAGCAACAACGGCACTTGCCTTATCGCATGTTGACAAATTGCCTCACACAAATGCAAACGCCCCTGCCCTATCCTCACTCTGTCATTCTCTCTCCTTCTCAGGCTGCACTCAATTGGCTGTAGCTTTCCAAAAACCTCATACGTTGTGCTTTTGTAGGCACGCCAGCAGCGACGTCAGCAGCGCAACGCAGAGCAGCACTTGACACATGAAGGTCCCTTTTGCAGTCTAGTTGATGTGGCAACCTTTTATTTTGGCGTCACCCTTTGTTGTTGTTTAGGCTGCGCTCCTCTTTTATTTATTTATTTTATTTTTTTTTTTTTGCATACCCACGCATTCGTGTCGTACGTATGTATGTATGTATATGTATATATGTATATTTTCTCACCTTGAGACAAGCATCGATTTGTTGTGGCGGCTGCGGCGACATCTTGAGCAACTGTGTGTGTGTGTGTGTGTGTGTGTCTTGGCTAATCAGCAGACGGCTGTAAATCAACAACTGTCATATTAAATACTAAAAGATTTATTTGATGTGCATACTTTCTTTAAGTTTTAATTTATGTGTCTGCTGCGCTAGACAACATTCTCTTTCCAAATTGCTGTATTTCGCAACACTGTAATACACTTTTTTTTTTTTTTGTGAGTGTATGCTCTATTGTACTGCTTATTATTTATTGCAAATTGAAAAATGTCAAACAAAAGTGAGCAACATAAATCACAAGTGCAGCGCAAAGTCCTAAAAAGCACGCAGCATAAACAATAACATGACAGCTTATTGGGTTAACGAGTTAAGTGCGAGCAGGACGGGGTAACTACATACATATACACATATAACAATGTAAACAGGAAGAAAAACGCGTATATAACAAGGAGAAGAAAAAACATTACTTTACGACACGCGCAAAAAAAGGGCTAGAGCAGCGACGTCGCCGTTGGCGTCAGCGTCGTGCCTTGATGAATGACATAATGGGCGTATAACAGTCATGACATGCGATAGAAAGAGAGGGAGTGAGCGAGAGAGAGTGGGCAAGCGACTGGGTGGGCGGCTTAGCGTATGTCCCAGCTGTAAGTAGTTTATGGATTTTTTTGCGCTCTGCTGCTGCTGCTGCATTATCACACATAGTAAACATTGTAGTATGTAGTAGTTTTGTGTGCGAAAGAGATGGCCATAGCCGTGCACTTTTGCTTGACCAACTTGAAGCTTGAAGCTTGAAAGGTTGGCACGGGGGAGAGGCAGGTGGGTTAGGCTTTGGCTGCTGGTCACGCTGAGGCTGAGACTAGGCCTAAAACGAAAACAAACTGTCGACGACGACGACGACGACAATCGGAATCGGAACCAGGTCGCACGACGAATGCAGCTCACGCACACAGACAGAGAGACAGACAGGCAGGCACATGCATGCAGAGCTTTCAGTTGACACAAAAGTGCGAGAAAAAATTGCAACACTGCAGAAAGTAGCGACAGCCGCTGTGCCATTGACAGTTATGCCTACACACACACACACTCACACTCACACTAATGTAACAGCTCTATGTACACACACACTCATATATAACAGTTACGTGTAAATGCAGACGCGCGAGTGGGCGACTATGCCAAGTAGTCTGTGATTTACTCGTTGAGGCGGGTCATTGAACTTGCTAGCTGCTCGCTAGGTGGCGCCAAAGTGCAAAGTGCAGCACAATTGCGTACAGTCCACAATTTTGCCCGCTTTGCAGCTGAACTAACCTACATTAAAGTGCTGAAGCGAATTGAGCTTCGCCCCAGCCCCTCCTCATCTTCCTCCTCCTGCAAGTGTAATAGAAAAGACGCATAACTGGAATGTTTTTGATGTCGATACGCTACGATTTACGTAGTAGCTCCTAAAATATCGATCCAGCTTCGCTTTAGCTTTGGCTTTCCAGTACGCGCCAAAAGCCCGACAGCAACCCCCAAAGTTGGCAGCAGTTCCCAAGCGCTAAGCAAGGAGCAGAAAAGGGAATAACAGCAGTGGCTGATAAAGGCGGCACAGTAGAGATTGTGTTGAGTGAATTTTTTGAATGAATACAAATGTGTTTCAATGAGTTATGTTAAAAGTCAATAAATATAAGGACTTAAATTCTATAAATAAAATATTATTTATCTTATTGTATTTTTAGTCCAATATATATTTTTTTCGTATTATTCAGTATACAACTTTCGCTTTAGCCATGCATCACTGTAGTCGGCGCACAGACTCAAACCAAAACATTGTGTGAGGGCCACAGTACAGGTCCCGTTATCCTAGTGCGATTTCCTCTCACACCACAAGCACAGCTGAGAGCAACGTTCGCACATGCTCACAGGGCTGAGTGGGTGGCCCTCGCGTACAATGTTAGTGTATAGAGAGGGGGAGCGCAGAGAGGGGAACTTGGTTTGTTTCACTGCCATTTCGTTGCCGAAATGAAACAGTGGCGCGGCGCCAGCCTGGCGCCTGGTAGGCAGCTGTTTGCCGATGACGATTATTTGTGAGACTGGAAAGTGATAGGCGGGTAGAGCAGCAAACGTCAGTATGGTGGGTAATTGGAAGACGCCGTCGTTCTTGCTCTCACACTCCCTCTGTCTCTGTCACTCTTGAACTCCTTTGGCCAGGAATTGGGCGTTCAGCTTTTTGATTGCCGCAGCTGCGCATTCTGCGCCACGCGTGTGTCTGTTCTGTTGCTGTTTTTCGCCTGGGCCGGCGTAGCAGAAAATTTGTTCTGTTCACTTGTCTGCAGCTGAAAAGGCGTGGCATGTGGGCGGCAGTTGGTTGGATGGGTGGGTGTAAACAGTGCACTAGGCCATTGGCATCGTGCAACCTTTCGCTTTGGCGCGGAATTGTTGCAGGCGCAGCCCAGCTGTCCGGGATGCGACCAACACCCATATATCTATACATATGTATGTATATCAATATGCAGCCGTAGTACATAAGCAGCGTTATGTCAGCTATGTATGTGCCATTGCGTGCGTAGTATATGGCGCATTGTAACTGTACATTCACTTGCTGCAGCTCGTAGTAAAAAAGCTTGCCGTCTCTTTCTAGACAGTGACCCGACCACCTCGAGCACCCCCACTCCAGTTGGGTGTATGTGGGTCTGCGTGCTGCATTATCTTTGACCACAAAATGCAATTAATGCAGTTTCGTTGGTAATTTGAAATTATTTTATGCTTCGTTCTGGGCGTTAATTAAAATCAAGAGCAAGTAAATTAAATGTGACCCTTGATATGGGAGCTAAACTTTGTTCACATTATGAAAAAACTGAAATTAAAATAGATTAAATTATTATTATTATATAATTATCACAAGTCTTTAGTATCCAAGTACTTAAAAGGTGTATTTTTGTGTCAGAGCAGATTAAAGGCATTTTAAGCTGTCCATGAGTGGAGTTTTCACTGCAGATACTTTATGGGTGCTCGAGTTGCCTGGGCAACTGTAAAATTACCAGTATATGCTTAGCTTAGAGTAATTGCTAACGGTTAATGGTGGGTGGTGTTGGAAAAACGATTGACAAAAGASACAGTAAGAACAGCAACAACAACAACTGAACGATAACTTTTCGAGAGCAGCGAATGCGGCACTTTCGCAAGCAAGAATGTAATAGCGGAAAGCAAAGAGTGCACAGAGAAAGCTGCAAGCCAACAACAGCAACAACAACAACAACAATAATAATAACAGGCGGCCTAGCAAAGCATAAGTGCAATGGATCAATTACTTTGTGGGTTTCTTTACATATACACACATATACACTTGCACAGCAGCTGCATTTACTTACAGACAGACAGCAGACAAGTGCAGCTGTGTGCGTGTATGTGTATGAGTGCAAAAATGTCGGTCGGTCGTTGGCAGCGTTGTCGCCGTCGCGTCGTCGTAGTCTGGCGACGCTTAAAGATCGTCGCCGTTGGTGTTGTTGTTGTTGTCGTCGTCAATTGCAGGCTTTCAAGCTGAGCTTTCGGCTAGTTTTTTCGTTGTTGTTGTCGCTGTTGATTACATGGAATGCCGTCTCGCCGGATTTAATGCCTGTGTGTGTTGCTAGCTCGCGCTGTAACGGTGCTAGTTTGCAATTTTTTTTTATCAATGGCGATTGAAAAAGCAACCAAAAAAAAGAGAAAAAAAAACACAGTCATTAACAGTGCCAAATGGGAAAGGCGGCGGTCTATAAGTTTCATGGCTCATCTCTATGTTAGTTCCGTTCCGTTTATACGCCTGTAGCATCGAGCAAACAGTTAAACTGCAGCGATTCAATGAATCAGCAACAGCTGATTGTAGCACAATAAACAAAGCAACTGAGTTGCCAGAGTATTGAGTAGCAAAACCAGCTAGTTTAAAAAAAAAAATAAATAAATAAAAAACAGCTACACATATGGAAACATAAATATAAAATTGGTTTTTATCAGTTACAATAAAAGCTTTTACGTTTTTGTTGTTTTAAATAACTATCATTAACGTAACAAATATTCTTTAGCCTTTTTCGCCCTCTGCCTGCCGCTGCAGCGGGCAACACTAAAAATATACATACATACATACTTCATTTACAGCTACAGCAATTCAGCAAAGCAAAGTAGCGAAACAACAAATACTTTACAATGTATGTATTTACTTTTGTTATTTATTTTTTTCTTTTTGGTTGATTTAATACCAAAAGTCAACCGGCATTTTTGCTGCGCAATTCGCACGCATAGCGGCAGCAGCTCAGCTGGTCAAGCAACAACAACAACAGCAATACCGGCAAAAAAGCTCAGCTTTCCCAATTGCGTCGTTGCGGCGCCAGACAAAACAATGCAAGCCGAGCCACGATTCAAGCACAG